AAGCAGGTTGATAAATAACAGTAATCAATTTGGTAATGTTGCCAAGATGCAGGACATTTCTGATCTTATCCAACAAAGATTTTGAGATTTTTTGTGAAATTTTTTGAAATTTTGTGAAAAAAAAATCAAAACCCCATGATAAAAAATTAAATATGATCTTCTTATTATTATTATTAGAAATTTTTGCCTATAAAGAAAATCCCTATCTACAAAGGCTCCAGACTCTTTTCACCTTAAGGTTTTATCTTTTTTCCTTTTCCCTTAAATGTCCTGGCTCTTCTGCCAACATTTACTTGTTAGCTTCCCTCACTCCTTTTTGTCTCCTCCATTTCCTCCTCTTTTCAGCTTTCTGTTCTCAGCGGCTTTCAGGTGAACAAACAGACATGGAAACAAGCCTCTGATCTTTCTGCCAAAGCAAGTTCCCCACTCTGCCTCCTAGCTGTCATAAATATTTTCTTATTCCAATGGGGTATAGAATTTTTATCTTGAAATTTCTATTAATAAGTTATCTTAAACTAATAAGAATTTTTATCTTGAAATTTCTGTTAATAAGTTATCTTAAACTAATATTTTAGAAGCTGCTATTTAAAAAATGAACCAGTTCTGGGACCAGGAGGTGGTGTAGTGGTTAAGGCACTGGACACTCCTACATGTCTGACCATGGTTTGAGTGCCAGACCTGGTGGCTGGCTTTCTCATTTTCCCTCTATCTCTCTCTCTCTGGTCAAATTACAATAAATTAATGAATAAATAAAATTAAATAATTTTTTTAATTAACTAGTTCTAAGAAATGGCTTGAGTCATTTTTCTTATCAGTTGCTACTTAAAAACCTTTAATAAGTTATTAACAATACTTTCTTGCCTTAACAAGCTGCATATAAGGTAATACATTGATATTAAGACTTCTTAGTCTTTCAGAATATATTGCTCATTCTATGGAGCAGACAGTGAGTAAGAGCATAATGAGTCTAATATGTGCTTTCAGGGGGAAACATCTAAAAAAGATTCTTTCATAATTAAATACCAGATAACAATTTATTTCATATTTTTTCTCTCTCAAAATTGAATTTACTATTCTTTAAAAACTACAGAAATAGATATAGGCCACATCTTTTTTTTTTTTTGGAGAGATTTGCACTATAGCGTGCGTGCACTCGCCAGACAGACAGAGAGAGACATAGAGACAGAAAGCGAGAAATCACCCCCCAGAGGGGATGGTCACGCCACAATCCCTTCTCCTCCATTCTCCTCTTGGGATCTTGGGCATGCACGCACACGCACCTGGCGTGAGTTTTTTAAGCCACCGGGTCCGGGACGCGAACCGCAGTCAACTACGTGGGAGTCCAGCGACATAGCCATTACGCTAACTGCTGGTTCCCAATAGGCCACATCTTTTTAAATAAATGTTTTCTCCATCTACTTTACTAGGTCATTGGGAAAGTCATGACATATTTTTCTGTGATTTTCTATGTAAAAATATGTCATGACTTTCCTGACAACCCAATATTATGAAATCAGAGTTAAATCTTCATATATTATAGCATTTGATACTATAAGAAAAGTAAAAGTCTGTGTTTCCATCAGAGATTGTGGTACTTACAGTAAGCTATATGCCAGTTTATTTTATATGTGTTACAAATTTTAAAGAAACATTTTAGAAAATTTTATTTTTTATTTGTATAGAAAAGAATACCCTTAAATGTTAGTGAAATAACATGGCTTAGAATGTTTAGACTTTTAGTCACAGAAAGTTACCCCACTCTGCAGAATGTGTGGTATGCATAGCTCTTTCTGCCATCAGACTTGCCGCCATAATTTACACACCTGTAAGTGTAAGCCTTAGAACTAGGCATTTTATCTACTTTACCTTTTAGCTCACAACAACCCAATGAGGCACACATTATTATGCCCAGTTTCCAGATGCAGAAACTGAGGCTCACAGTTATTTATTTCTTTTCCCAAAAGTACACAGTAAGGACAGAGCAAGATCGCTTAAGTCTAAAGCCTAACTCACCCCCCAGCGTGACTGACTGTGATAGCAGAACCAACTGCCTACCTGATCCCACACTTTCTTACTTATTACTTCTTTTGGGCATCAACATACCTGTGTAAAAGTCTTTTAATTTCACTATAATGTCTTTAGTAGTGGTTACCCTATGTAATAGCACTGGTCAAAGTTAGAGGTCATGGAGAGGGCATTCCTTCCCAGAGAAAAGGCAAAGCTCACTTGGTGAAAAGTCTTTAATAACTACACTCTTCTAAGATTGGTCTGGAGGGCTAGCTGGTGGCATGATGGTGAAGGTAGCTGGATTCAACACGATCAACTGTGTGCTTTAAGCCCCAGACCTGGTGATTTGAAAAAATGTCTGGGTGTATGTGATGCATGCCCAAAATCTCTTTCTATATTTTCTTAAATCAGATTTTTTTTTCTTTTCTTTTTTTTTTTTTTTTTTGAGAGGTTTTTGCTACAGGGCATGTACACTGGCCATGCCCTGAATTTTCTTGCTGAAAAATCGCCCCTCAGGGGGGACGGCCACACCGCAATCCCTTCTCCTCCATTCTCCTCTCGGGATCTTGGGCACACATGCACATGTGCCAGCGTCAGTTTAAGCCTCCGGGTCTGGGACTCAAACCGCGGTCGACTACATGGGAGTCCAGCGACATAGCCATTACGCTAGCTGCTGGTCCCCATGCCCAAAATCTCAAGAGGAGAACAGAAGAGATTTTAACGTAGTCATCACCCCTAGAGGGTGATTTCACCCTGGGGGTGATTTCTCAGTTTTCCTCTCTCCCCCTCCCCATCTCCCTGGTGAGCACACATGCCCCATAGAAAAATGGGGAAAAGAAAGAAAAAAGAAAAAGAAAAAAAGAAAACCAAGAATCTAAAGGGCCAGCAGGTGGTGTGGTGGTTAAAGCATTGGACTCCCACGTGACTGACTGCAGTTTGAGTCCTAGGTCTGGCAGCTTGCTATCTCTCTCTCTCTCTCATGAGCACATGTGCCCTGTAGAAAATTTAAAAATAATTATGATGATAAATAAAATAAATAACTATAAAAAAAGAAAAAGGAATTTGGCCTGGAAAATTCAGGTACCACCTCACCTCTCACAACCCTGAAAACCAATCACACACTAAAGTCACAAAACCCTGAATGAGCCTGGCCCTCTGAATGCCTTATTGTGGGAGATAAATTCAAACTCACTTAAGGGACTGATAACCAGAATACACAGGAACTCAAGCTGCTGTTTGGAAAAAAGATGATCAACCCTATTAAAAGATGGGAGGAGTTGAAAAAAACACTCTCTAAAGATGACATACGAGGGAACCAGCAGTTAGCGTAATGGCTATATCGCTGGACTCCCACGTAGTCGACCGCGATTCGTGTCCCGGACCCGGTGGCTTAAAACTCACGCCGGGCACGTGTGCGTGCGTGCCCAAGATCCCGAGAGGAGAATGGAGGAGAGGGGATTGCGGCGTGACCATCCCCCCTGGGGGGTGATTTCTCGCTTTCTGTCTCTATGTCTCTCTCTGTCTGTCTGGC